CACACAAGGAACCCATTGGCTATAAATGGGTCTACAAAATCAAACACCAGGCTGATGGCTCCATTGAACGGTACAAAGCTCGGCTCGTCGCAAAAGGTTTCACCCAATGAGAAGGCTTTGACTATTAGGAGACCTTTTCTCTAGTGGCCACTCCACCATATGGATTTTCATAATGCCTTCCTTCATGGGGATCTTGATGAGAAAATTTATATGGATATTCCTCCCGGCCTTCGCAATCAGGGGGAGAATCTTGTATGTAGATTGCGAAAATCTTTATATGGCCTAGAACAAGCATCAAGGCAGTGGAATGCAAAATTTACAGAAGCTCTCACAATTATTAAATTCACCCAATCCAAACATGACTATGCCCTATTTTCCATACACAAAGGTAAGTCGTTTATCAGTCTCATCATTTATGTTGATGACATTCTTATTACAAGAAATGATGAGAAAGCAATCATAGAATTAAAGGAACATCTACACAGAACATTCCACATTAAAGATTTAGGAGAACCAAAGTTTTTCTTAGGTATTGAGATTGCACACTCCTAAGAAGAAATATCCCTTAGCCAACGAAAGTATGTGTTGGAACTTATTTCAGATTCAGGCCTAGCAACATGCAAACCAAGCGTCGTTCTGATAGAATAGAACAGTAAACTCACCACAAAAGAACATGATGAAAAAATTCAAAATTCTTAGTTAGACCCCTTATTAGAAGATAGTTCCAGTTATTAGCGACTCGTTGGAAGGCTCATATATCTCACAATGATGCAGCCAGACATTAGCTATGCAATTCAAATTCTTAGCTAGTTTATGCATGCTCCAAAACAATCCCACATGGATGCAACAATCAAGGTACTTAAGTATTTAAAAGGTTGTCCAGGGCTGGGACTTCTCTTACCTAGAAAAGGAGATATGAATATCATTGCGTACTATGACTTAGATTGGGGTTCATGCCCAATGACAAGAAGATCTCTCACTAGTTTCTGTATCAAACTTGGACAGTCTCTCATATCATGAAAAGCAAAAAAGCAAACCACTGTTTCACTCTCATCAGTAGAGGCCGAGTATAGAGCCATGGCCAAAACTACATGTGAGGTCACCCGGATCCTTGTTTTACTAAAGGATTTAAATCGACAAGTGGAAACACCAGCCAAACTATATTGTGACAACAAAGCAGCAAAAAACATCACAGCCAACCCAGTCTTCCATGAAAGAACAAAACATATAGAGATTGACTGCCATTTTGTCAGAGATAAAATATAGGAAGAAATGATTCAAACGAAACATATCTGGACTACAGAGCAACCAACATACATATTCACAAAGCCATTATGTCAGAGACAACATTCACATTTATTAGGCAAGCTCGAAGTTTATGACATTTATAAACCACGAGCTTGAGGGGGAGTGTTGACATGTGAATAATGATACACGCCATAATTAGAAGATTGGAAATATTTGATACGGTCTAAGTATGGATAGTATTGCTGGATTTATTTCATTCCTTTTATATGTTGATTTGTATTTATTTCTGTATATTTGACTTCCTTACATATCACTGTTACAATTTTATAAATTGTACAACATTTTACATAAAAGATATATCAAATACCAAAAAAAAAAAAAAAAAAAGTATTCCTCTCTTTCCTTTTTTTGGCATACTCTGCAATTGAGTGTTGCTTCTCTTGCCTCTCCAGACTTCTTCTAGGCATTCTTCGGGAGTCCAACTGCGTCTATTGCCACTCCAATCCTAACTTCTTACAACAGTTCAAATTTTATGTTCTTTTAATTTTTTTAAATTTCGGTATGGATATCAACATTTCATCGGCTACTACCAAAATCCAGAGGAATTTGATTGAATGTGATGTCGGTGAAATCGAAGATATAATGAGCAAATTAATTACCCTGGCCATATCCTTGTTTACATTCTCTCATTCCTTCTCATAAAAGATGTTTTAACAACTTCTGTGTTGTGCACAAGATGGAAACCATCTTGTGGACTTTTGTATTTAACTTCTGTGTTGTCCACAAGGTTTCATGAGCTTTATCTTTACCTACTTGCTAAACATCTCTTTATATTGCCTAATAGCCTTTTCGCTTCTGAATCTCTCTACATATTGAAATTAAATACGGTTTTATTGAAGGTTCCTAGTTTCATAAGCTTCTCGAACCTCAAGAGAGTCTGCATCTTTCAGTTAATTTCAAGGCAACGGATCCACTGAACGACTTTTTTTTTCTGGTTGTCCAGTTCTGCAAGGACTGGTTTGCACAAATGTGTTTGGGCCTTTTGGTCCATTCTTCGTAGACTACTATCCTGATTATGTTATCACAATTGAAACAGAAAATCCGCTCTCTCTTAATTGAGTAAGTTATCTGAAATACGATTGATTGGGGGATTAATACGATTACACCGCGTGCATGCAGTAGAGCTTCATTGTGGAATTTATAATGTAAAATCGCTTACACTGTCGAATGACACCCTTGAGGCATGATAACTAACTTTTTGTTGAGCAACCATTATTAGAAGCTTTTCTTTTTTGTTTCTTATGTTCATTTTATCAACGTAGACTCAAAAAATTTGTTTGTAATGCTAATTTTTACTCTTTTTTGTGCCAGTATCTCTCTTTTAGGGAAAATCTCCGTAATTGTCTTCCTACATATCATAGCTTGACTCATTTTAAGGTGGCTTTCGGGAAGACCACTTTCATTAGAGATCAAGTGTTGGTGCACTTTTTGCAAAAGTCACCTATGTAGAATTCCTTGAAGTCCCTTAGGTAATATTTGAAGTCTGCAATTTGAATCTCCAAAGAACTTCAATTTTATGAGATTGGTAGCTCGCTCTTCCATTAACAAATTATGATTCTAATGCCGGTTCTCCACGGGAATGATGGTTGGTCATTGAAAATTGTCCCCCGATGTTTCAAGATATTATCTCATATATCAAAGGCGGGATAGGTCAGCTACCTTTTGTAAAATATTTGCTAGAGAATGCAAGCATGTTGGAGAGGATCATACTCTTTTGTTTAAACATGACATCAGCCGTCTATTGCAAAGTAACTCAAAGAAGAACCAGAGTTGTGTAATTGAGTTTTGGGTATCTAGTTCTCCGAAATCTGTCATTCTCCCATGATTTACATGCTTTAAAACTCAATATATATATATATATATCTATATATAATATATATATATATATATATATTATATATTATATATATAATATATATTGTGACCATAGGTGTTCGGGTCAGCTTATTCACATCTCAACTGATCCCTTGGATTTCTGAAGTGAATGGTCAGGTAAGATCCCTCCTATTAGTGTCTGGGGACTCAAACTCAAGAATCCATGTACCCCTTTGTTCTTTTATCATATCATCAAGCCACCCAACATGTTTGTATACCGTATGATTTAACAAACATGTATAAGTTGGTATGCAGTTTAACATCACTCAAACAAATTTACTATTGATTCGTTGATCAAATTTAGTACAAACCACACCTTCATTTGTTTTTCAATGGCAAATTGGAGAGAATCAGCAAGTTGTAGAATTGAGTTCCGTAATATTTTAAGTCAAGCTGTGGAGAAGGTTGGAATTTTATCTTCAAGCTTAAGGGAGACAATTCTTTTACCTTCAACCTTACTGTAGACGATAAAAATTTACAGTTACGGAATAGAATGATCCTATAAGGTTGATTTCACTGACGATCTACTGAACCTGCATGCATAAAGAAACAAGCGCAAAGCTACACCGGTGTAGTGTCTGCGTAGGCACTCCGGCGTTCAAGTTAGCAAGGCTGAAAAATGCTATTTAGTGAGGGCTAAGGGGAGGAAGGGTCACTAGAGTCTAATAGGAGATTAGAGCTACAGCGAAGGTGCTAGTTCATAGGAATCAGAACTTTTAGGAACTAGTAGGTGGTATTGAATAATCCCTCCTAATGAGAGGTCAAGACTTTGTTTATATAGTGAATATAGGATCTTCAAATCCTAGTTAAACTCTAAGTTCATAATGACAGAGTTCCAGTAAATAGGAAAGTCCTGGAGTAAGAGTCTTAATTCATATAAGACTTAAGATCTTGGATGAATTAAGATGAAGGTAGAATTCTAGGGAGAATTTAGGATATTGATGAAACATGAAGTAGATGATTTAGGATTTAAGTGGGACCCTTTAAAGTTGTCATAGGACAATGAGCCTAAGCCTAAGTGGGCTAATGATGAGGCCTAATCTTGGTGATCCAACCCATGAGAAGCTTGGTCGGTATGATGGGTTGGCCATGACATGGATCTTTAGAGTAGGCTCAACTGGAATTGGGCTATGGTATTGGGCCATGTGGTAGATATTTTAGTGTTTAGGCCTGATAAGGCCCAAAACGTTTTTTGGCCCATACACTTACTGATCATTATATTAATTGCCCTACATCCAAATTTATGTGTCTTAAACTTTAGGAAAGAATAAAAACAAAACAACTACTTTTGGGGAGAGTAGTTTGATAGGAACTCTTGGGTGTATCACTCAAAATGTCCTCTTCGGTTGCCAATAAGGGCAATTACCAGAACTTTTATACAATTGATAGTTTCAGGTTCTTAGGAAAGTAGTTGAGGTGCGTGTAAACTGGCCCGAGCATCCTCGATTTTAAAAAAAAAAAAATTCACACAAAACAAAATGACAATAACAAGTGATTGTTTTTGTATAAGAATTGATGTGTTTAATTTACAAGTACCATATTGCCCCGACCTTATAAAGAAGATGGTTTTACCAAAATTACTATGGTAATTAATAAATTAATTTTTTTTTTATGGGAAAATAGATTTAGATTACATTTTCGATTATAATAAAGGAATTATTATGCTTTCAAGAATATAAATATGGTGATACAACCAAATTCCTTAGAAATTAAAAAAATCATATAAATGGTAAGTAATCTGTCAATTTAAACGACGTCGTTTCAGTGTCAGTTAATTAAGCTTTACCGGGTTTTCGTCACCTACAGAAGTGAGGGTAAAAAGCTGAAGAAAATTCAACAATGGCGTGAAAAATCTCTCCATCTCGAAATTCGAAACCCATTTCTTCTTTCACTCTCGGGTTCAATTTTTTTCCGACTCTGTTTGATTAAGTTCTTCAGTTTTGGTGGATTGCTGGGTGGGTATTTAATTCTTTCTCAATACTAATAATTTTTTCTCATATTACTAATATCTCTTAAACTTTACATGTTCATTGATTTACATATTCTGGGTTTGATGTAAATTTTCAAAATTTTTTTTCAAGGTTTTGTTTATTGTGTTATGTTGATATCCAATTGACAGTAGCTTTAGTACATGCTTAGAAATTATACATAAAAAATTATTATTATGATACTTAAATGTTTAACATAGTCATTGATGAGTTTTTCCAAAATTTAACTTCTAACTTGTTATCAGTGTGGCATTTTATGGTAGATGTTGAACTGTTGCTAGTCTCAAGTTGAAATTACAAGTATGATTATCTGTTTTATAATTTGCATTTGTCTTTGTTACAACTTTGATGCTTTATTTATATAAGCAACATCTATATGTGAGGGAAAATGTCCATGGTACCAGAGATTGTCCTTCGTTGTAAATGTGAATTCCGAATGGATACATACGATTATGAAAATGTGAATTCCGAATGGATAATTTCATATTAGACTTCTATAGGTAGCATGATAATACTGTAAAAACTTTGGAAGTGTGAGTATATTTGCCTGGTAGGAAATATTTAATTGCTACCCTGTTTCAATTGTGCAAGAAGAGTATCAGTTTCTGAAATATTTGTATAGTTGAACTTACATAACCTTATTCTTGCGGTTGAATCCAAGTTTTAGTTTCATCATTCTTATACAGATTTTGATTATTCTTTAGGGAAAGACTGAATATGGACACTTTCATTTCACTGCCTAATTCAAAAATCAAGAAGCTTTTGAAAGATCAGCATGCAAGTGGGGGCGTTGATATAATCAGCAAATTATCTGATAATATCCTCCTTTACATTCTTTCCTTCCTTCCAATCAGTGATGTTTTAAGAACTTCTGCTTTGTCAAAGAGATGGAAATACCTTTGGGCTTCTATTTTCGATATTGATGTTGATGAAACTAGTTATACATTGGTATCAGGCACGGAGACTAGCTTCTTGGAATCTGTGGAAAGATTACTTATCCGTCGTGATTCTTCACATATAAGAAAATTCCATCTTATCTGAAGAATGAGCATTAGTGCATCTAGTGTAATTTCATGGGTATTTGCTACACTACTATACAAGGTTCAAGAGCTTGAACTTTCCCTACCTTTTGAGACACTCCTTTTGCTACTCAATGCCCTTTTTACGTCTGAATCACTCAGCGTATTGAAATTAGATATGATCATATTCAAGGTTCCTAGTCTCATACGCTTGTCAAACCTTAAGGCCTTACACCTTACTGTTATATTTCCGAGTGATGAATCCACTGAAAGATTTTTTTCTGGTTGTCCAGTTCTCCAAGACTTATTTTTAGACAATTGCTCTTGGCAGCATAATAAGAGAATCACTCTTTCTATTCCCACTTTAAGGACACTGACTATTTTCTATTGCCCCTCTTTCCCAGAAAAGTTACTAGATTGTGTGATCACGATCTGTGCACAAAATCTTATGTCTTTTGAATGCACTAGTTATCTGATATTTGAACTTGTTTTGTGTAACCTATCATCACTGGCCGATGCTTGTATTGATGTTACGGTTTTGTCGTATGAGTGGCAAGAATTTCCTCAACGAGCAATAAAACTACTCGGTGGAATTCACCATGTCAAATCTCTTACTTTGTGGAGTAATACACTTGAGGTATGGAACTCACTTTTTCGTGGTAAATGCTGCTAGAATTCTTGTGTCTTTTGTTTATGCAGACATCACTTTATTCCTTTGAAAGACTAACTTTCTCTTTTGTTTCTTTTCCCACCTCTTTTCTATTGTATCAAGTGTCTCCTTCTTGAACAAAATCCCGCAGCTTTTCTGCCTACATTTCATAATTTGACTCATTTGAGGATTCCCTGGTGCTGGGTTTGTCTGACGACTCTGACCAATACACAACTGAAGCATTGATGCATTTTCTTAAAAAATTACCGAATCTAGAATATCTTGAGATTCCTGGGGTATGTATTTTATTGCCTGAATATAGATTTAATATATTGCTTTGATCCTGGACTGAACCCAAATATTATCTTCTTGGTCATCCTTTTCCATTATTATGCTTTTTTGCAGGAATTTGACCCAGAATCTGAGTGGTCCAGTATTTTACCTCAATGTATCAAGTTTTGCCTTAAAACTATTAGGATCTTACATCTTAAGGGGAGTGACGCAGAATTAATTTGGCTAAAATATTTTCTTGGGAACACCAACGTGTTGGAGAGGGTTACAATACTCTGTTCAGAGAGCTTGCAGGCAGATTCGGAGAAGCAGAAGAAGATCAACAATGAGGTACAAGCTATTCGTAAAGGACTAGTGAGTTGTGTAGTGGAGTTTCTGTAAATAAAGATCTTGAAAGCTGGACTTCTTTTGATGATCTGCTTGCATTAACTACATTTCATGTTCTGAAGTTATTGACTTCAAAAATTTCAAGTTCTCTGTAAATGTGACCTTTAGGATGTTGATTGCTGCTTGTCTATGTTTCTGTAATCAATTGATTTCTAAAATCTACACATTGCTAGGAGATTTAACGGATAATCATCGAGTTCTTTTATATATACAACTTAATTTCCAGATAACAAAAATATAACCTAAGCAAAAAGAAAAAAACAGTACAATTTGTCAGCATATCACAGTATTGTGTGTTTCAGGCCACACAAAGTTGTAGCAGCCATTGTTCTCTAAGGTGGGAACTCCGTCATAGAGCTGAGAATGATCAGTAACTCCACCGAATTCAACGAAGCAATCCATCTGATCATCTCCGTGAAAATCCATGCACAAGCTCAAGTCATCTTCGCTCAGCAATGAGGAAGAGGAAGAAGCGCCTTCTAGCTCCGTATCGTCCAATGCAAACTCATCCATGACTTGTACATCGTTGCAGATAAGCACTCTCAAATCAATTACAGAATCTTGATCTTCTATTGTTGTCGGGTTTATCTCCGCTTCCAGAGATTGAATGAAGCTCTCTAATTTTTCATCATTGTACTCTTCACCCTGGGATTCTTCCAATAAGGACATGAGAAACACACTGTTGAGTTTCGAGACATCAACTCCATCTAGATTTTCAGGAGCAATAGAAGCCATTTATGTAGAATATGTAAATCCTGAAGAAGGAAGATTAAGCTAAGAGCTGAATGTGTTACAATGACTCACTCAAGTCATTTGGCCTTTAAATAGCTCAGCGAATGAAGATACGCCAATGGTGTATTGTCGGTAGAAGAAAGTAACAGCAGACAACAGATCCACCAAATCCATATAAATTAAGAAAGGATTTAAAAGAAAAAAAATATGATAATAATGGAGGACAACGAGATCTTTGAAGTGGAATTTCAATAAAAATGTGCTATGATTAGAGCAAAGTGGGGCTCTGGAGAGAGGAGTTGCTGGACTATTTTGACAACTCAACCCCACAAATTCAGTGAACGTGGTGGAGCCAATTGTTTACACAATTTATGCTTATTTTCTTAATGTATCATCTTAATTATGTCTTGTATATTTAATCAACAATAAATAAAACTCTGAACATCATCTTGATGCTTTGTCAAACAGAAATAGTACTTGAAGTTGAAGCACAGGCAAGCAGTTTTGTTTTAAAGGATAATTAATATTGAACAGGTTGTCTGTTTGTCTTCTTACTTGTTAGTATCATGCAAAGAGCATCAAATCAAGTTAATTAATTAAGCAATTTTTGACTAAATTATATATATATATATATATATAGGCAGTTCGTATGATACCGTTTAATATTAATTAAATTTAACCAAAAAAAAAGGTCTTACAATTGAATACATTAACTGAACATCTACCATATTCCAAAAATAAAATGGTTCTTTTTTTTTTTTTCCCAACATTCGAGGAAGATCAATGAATGAACACTAAGTTGGTGTTGATGCAGGAATTTCGAGGCCTGCCTCGTATAAGGCAGGGATTCCCCCTTTTTGAGGGGATAGGGGTGGGGATGGTTGGAGTTTTAATCTCCGTCTTCCGCGGGGGGCTGGGAAGTGCCCTTCCCCCACCCCGTCATATATATATATATACACACTTTACACTAATACATAATGAGTATTTATGAACAAATTATGACAATGCTTAAATGGTTTTTGTTTTGTTTCTTCAATTGGTGTAATTGATCAAATACATAATGAATTTGTATTTTGGACAAATGCAATGCCTTAACTTAAGTTTAGATAATTAATTTAAGTGTTTGTTATATGAAGAAATCTCAACATTGAAATATAATTAACTATTATATTTGGTAATACTTAAATGCTTTTGTCATGTGTTTGTTCTCATAATTGATGTTAATGTAAAATTAATAGGACGAGGACGGCCCTTTAAAATTCCCCATAGGACAAGGATGGGGAATCCCGAATCTCGGTCATCCCCGTAGTGGGACGGGGATTCCCATTGCCATGCCTGCTTCTAGAGATCAAGAGAATCATGAATATAATCGTTAATAAATGCTTAGTTTTGGGCAGTTAACTACTGATAAAAAAAAATTACTCTGATATATTTATTAAGAGTATTTTAAAATCTAGTCAAGTTTTGGGGAGAAAGCTAGCACAATTCGAATTGGTTTGATCACAAAGTTAAGTAATGCACATAAGGTTGTAATTCTGTCAGAATTGATTTGGATTGCTGATTTTTGTCTGTGATTTATACTGATGAATTAATCTTCCGAGCCAGAATCCTCACGTATGAGTTTTCTTATGTTTACAACTACAAAATACAAAACTAAGAATAAGATAAAAATTTATTGGCAAATCATAATATCATCTGTTTCATGCCACGCAGAACTGTAGCAGCCATAATAAAGCTGAGAATTATCATCACTAACACCACCAAAATCAACTATGCCATCCATCTGATTGCAGGAATCCATGTACAAGTTGAACTCATCGCTGCTTATTGATGAAGAAGTCACTAGCTCTATATTATCCCATGCAAAGTCATAATCATCAATATATAGAGACGATTCTCAACAATCTTGGCCCTCAATCACCGACTCTTGATCTTCTATTATAACTGTTTTGGGGTTTATCTCTGCCTCTAGAGATCGGATTAAGTTCTCTAATTGTTGTTTGTCGTACTCTTCGCAATGTGATTCTTCCAATAAAGACATGAGAGACACACTGTTAAGTTTTAATACATCAACTCCATTATTCATGAAGTCGTCGCCATTAATGCATGGCACAGTTTCAGAAGAAAAAGAAGCCATTAATTTTTGTGGAATAAATTTTCAATAAGAAGGGATATAGAGATTGAGAATATGTCTGAAATGACAATAGCATGACAAAAGTGAGTTGGCATTTAAATAGGCCAATGAATAATAATGGGAAGTCAATAATGTCGGTAGAAGAAACAAATTACAGTGGACAACAATCTACCAAATCCACATTCAAAAGCATGCAGTACTAGTAATTATATAAATGATAAACAATTTAATAGAACATGATTCTCTCTTGATCTAAACTTCTATATAAATAAGTAAAGTTTGTGTAACCTATCGTCACTGGCCGATGCTTGTATTGATGTTACGGTTTTGTCGTATGAGTGGCAAGAATTTCCTCAACGAGCAATAAAACTACTCGGTGGAATTCACCATGTCAAATCTCTTACTTTGTGGAGTAATACACTTGAGGTATGGAACTCACTTTTTCGTGGTAAATGCTGCTAGAATTCTTGTGTCTTTTGTTTATGCAGACATCACTTTATTCCTTTGAAAGACTAACTTTCTCTTTTGTTTCTTTTCCCACCTCTTTTCTATTGTATCAAGTGTCTCCTTCTTGAACAAAATCCCGCAGCTTTTCTGCCTACATTTCATAATTTGACTCATTTGAGGATTCCCTGGTGCTGGGTTTGTCTGACGACTCTGACCAATACACAACTGAAGCATTGATGCATTTTCTTAAAAAATTACCGAATCTAGAATATCTTGAGATTCCTGGGGTATGTATTTTATTGCCTGAATATAGATTTAATATATTGCTTTGATCCTGGACTGAACCCAAATATTATCTTCTTGGTCATCCTTTTCCATTATTATGCTTTTTTGCAGGAATTTGACCCAGAATCTGAGTGGTCCAGTATTTTACCTCAATGTATCAAGTTTTGCCTTAAAACTATTAGGATCTTACATCTTAAGGGGAGTGACGCAGAATTAATTTGGCTAAAATATTTTCTTGGGAACACCAACGTGTTGGAGAGGGTTACAATACTCTGTTCAGAGAGCTTGCAGGCAGATTTGGAGAAGCAGAAGAAGATCAACAATGAGGTACAAGCTATTCGTAAAGGACTAGTGAGTTGTGTAGTGGAGTTTCTGTAAATAAAGATCTTGAAAGCTCCACTTCTTTTGATGATCTGCTTGCATTAACTAAATTTCATGTTCTGAAGTTATTGACTTCAAAAATTTCAAGTTCTCTGTAAATGTGACCTTTAGGATGTTGATTGCTGCTTGTCTATGTTTCTGTAATCAATTGATTTCTAAAATCTACACATTGCTAGGAGATTTAACGGATAATCATCGAGTTCTTTTATATATACAACTTAATTTCCAGATAACAAAAATATAACCTAAGCAAAAAGAAAAAAACAGTACAATTTGTCAGCATATCACAGTATTGTGTGTTTCAGGCCACACAAAGTTGTAGCAGCCATTGTTCTCTAAGGTGGGAACTCCGTCATAGAGCTGAGAATGATCAGTAACTCCACCGAATTCAACGAAGCAATCCATCTGATCATCCCTGTGAAAATCCATGCACAAGCTCAAGTCATCTTCGCTCAGCGATGAGGAAGAGGAAGAAGCGCCTTCTAGCTCCATATCGTCCAATGTAAACTCATCCATGACTTGTACATCGTTGCAAATAAGCACTCTCAAATCAATTACAGATTCTTGATCTTCTATTGTTGTCGGGTTTATCTCCGCTTCCAGAGATCGAATGAAGCTCTCTAATTTTTCATCATTGTACTCTTCACCCTGGGATTCTTCCAATAAGGACATGAGAAACACACTGTTGAGTTTCGAGACATCAACTCCATCTAGATTTTCAGGAGCAATAGAAGCCATTTATGTAGAATATGTAAATCCTGAAGAAGGAAGATTAAGCTAAGAGCTGAATGTGTTACAATGACTCACTCAAGTCATTTGGCCTTTAAATAGCTCAGCGAATGAAGATACGCCAATGGTGTATTGTCGGTAGAAGAAAGTAACAGCAGACAACAGATCCACCAAATCCATATAAATTAAGAAAGGATTTAAAAGAAAAAAAATATGATAATAATGGAGGACAACGAGATCTTTGAAGTGGAATTTCAATAAAAATGTGCTATGATTAGAGCAAAGTGGGGCTCTGGAGAGAGGAGTTGCTGGACTATTTTGACAACTCAACCCCACAAATTCAGTGAACGTGGTGGAGCCAATTGTTTACACAATTTATGCTTATTTTCTTAATGTATCATCTTAATTATGTCTTGTATATTTAATCAACAATAAATAAAACTCTGAACATCATCTTGATGCTTTGTCAAACAGAAATAGTACTTGAAGTTGAAGCACAGGCAAGCAGTTTTGTTTTAAAGGATAATTAATATTGAACAGGTTGTCTGTTTGTCTTCTTACTTGTTAGTATCATGCAAAGAGCATCAAATCAAGTTAATTAATTAAGCAATTTTTGACTAAATTATATATATATATATATATATAGGCAGTTCGTATGATACCGTTTAATATTAATTAAATTTAACCAAAAAAAAAGGTCTTACAATTGAATACATTAACTGAACATCTACCATATTCCAAAAATAAAATGGTTCTTTTTTTTTTTTTCCCAACATTCGAGGAAGATCAATGAATGAACACTAAGTTGGTGTTGATGCAGGAATTTCGAGGCCTGCCTCGTATAAGGCAGGGATTCCCCCTTTTTGAGGGGATAGGGGTGGGGATGGTTGGAGTTTTAATCTCCGTCTTCCGCGGGGGGCTGGGAAGTGCCCTTCCCCCACCCCGTCATATATATATATATACACACTTTACACTAATACATAATGAGTATTTATGAACAAATTATGACAATGCTTAAATGGTTTTTGTTTTGTTTCTTCAATTGGTGTAATTGATCAAATACATAATGAATTTGTATTTTGGACAAATGCAATGCCTTAACTTAAGTTTAGATAATTAATTTAAGTGTTTGTTATATGAAGAAATCTCAACATTGAAATATAATTAACTATTATATTTGGTAATACTTAAATGCTTTTGTCATGTGTTTGTTCTCATAATTGATGTTAATGTAAAATTAATAGGACGAGGACGGCCCTTTAAAATTCCCCATAGGACAAGGATGGGGAATCCCGAATCTCGGTCATCCCCGTAGTGGGACGGGGATTCCCATTGCCATGCCTGCTTCTAGAGATCAAGAGAATCATGAATATAATCGTTAATAAATGCTTAGTTTTGGGCAGTTAACTACTGATAAAAAAAAATTACTCTGATATATTTATTAAGAGTATTTTAAAATCTAGTCAAGTTTTGGGGAGAAAGCTAGCACAATTCGAATTGGTTTGATCACAAAGTTAAGTAATGCACATAAGGTTGTAATTCTGTCAGAATTGATTTGGATTGCTGATTTTTGTCTGTGATTTATACTGATGAATTAATCTTCCGAGCCAGAATCCTCACGTATGAGTTTTCTTATGTTTACAACTACAAAATACAAAACTAAGAATAAGATAAAAATTTATTGGCAAATCATAATATCATCTGTTTCATGCCACGCAGAACTGTAGCAGCCATAATAAAGCTGAGAATTATCATCACTAACACCACCAAAATCAACTATGCCATCCATCTGATTGCAGGAATCCATGTACAAGTTGAACTCATCGCTGCTTATTGATGAAGAAGTCACTAGCTCTATATTATCCCATGCAAAGTCATAATCATCAATATATAGAGACGATTCTCAACAATCTTGGCCCTCAATCACCGACTCTTGATCTTCTATTATAACTGTTTTGGGGTTTATCTCTGCCTCTAGAGATCGGATTAAGTTCTCTAATTGTTGTTTGTCGTACTCTTCGCAATGTGATTCTTCCAATAAAGACATGAGAGACACACTGTTAAGTTTTAATACATCAACTCCATTATTCATGAAGTCGTCGCCATTAATGCATGGCACAGTTTCAGAAGAAAAAGAAGCCATTAATTTTTGTGGAATAAATTTTCAATAAGAAGGGATATAGAGATTGAGAATATGTCTGAAATGACAATAGCATGACAAAAGTGAGTTGGCATTTAAATAGGCCAATGAATAATAATGGGAAGTCAATAATGTCGGTAGAAGAAACAAATTACAGTGGACAACAATCTACCAAATCCACATTCAAAAGCATGCAGTACTAGTAATTATATAAATGATAAACAATTTAATAGAACATGATTCTCTCTTGATCTAAACTTCTATATAAATAAGTAAAGGTTTGTGATTGGTAATTACACAATAGAAATATAATAGACAAATGAGAACATCTACCCTTAAAATAAATAAATAGATTTGAATCATAAGTAAAAATATATACGTATCATGAAGAATTTTAAAGGTTCGTATAAAGAGAAAACTCTGGTGTAAATCAAGTGGGGCTCAAGAGGAGTACTTGTTGCACGTATCTTGACAACTCAGCCCATGCATACATTGAACTTTGAAGGACAAAGTGTGGCACCGGCACCAGCGGGTGTTGGGTAGAGGTTAGACATCGCGATCCACCATTTTATTATTAACCTACACTGTCTGATCGATGCGTGGGCAGCGTGGCCTCAATAAACAGTTTATTAAAGATTTATAAAATAGCAATGCACTTGGAATTACAAACACTTTTGTTTCAATCCATCTTTTAGCTATTCAATACAGGTCCTGTGGTCGTCTTCTTAGGAAGATTCAAGTGATGGGGTTATCCTCTTATTTAGCGTACCACACTCTGTGCATTGCATCACTGTTTCCCAAAACAAGAAAAAGAATCAGTGCTCTTGGGGATGCAAATTATTTTAGAAGTATACATAATAAACTATACAAATAAATATATAATCACCTCACTATTGGCAAATCAATAGCATATTACTTATATTTATTGATATTGACCCATCAACTGTTCAAATCAGCTTTTTTTATTTCAATGAATGAGCAACATGTGTGACCAACCAGGTGGCAAAGCCATTCGTGATTATGCTTCATATTGAAATCAGCCTGTCGGTACGGCCGGCTAAGCTTTTCATAAAATGCACTACACTTCACAAACCATCATGTTCTCCATTATTAAAACCATATAGAGTGGTTGTTTTCTTTGATCCAACGAATCAAGATTAGTACAAGCGTGTAACCTTCAATAATTTAATATCAGCATTTGTTGTTTACAGGACACTTCACATGGCAGTGGGTTCAGGTTCATCATCAAATATTAAATCAAAGGAATCGATGGATTATGATGAGAACTAAATCCCACTCAACATTTTGAGGTGGCAACATGTGATGATCGATCCCTTAGTGTTTGTTGAATGGTGAGACCAAAGCCTAATATTATGCAATTGAATTGGGAGCCACACCAGGTGGTGGTTCAATCTTGTATTCTAATCAAACCATTCATTACTTGTCATCAACATTACAATAACATGTGATACTTTGTTTATGTGTATAAATTAATAATCAAAATATGATACCAGATTTTATGAGTCATCAAGATCAAAATGTATCCATCAATTCCACTTTCTACTTCACTAAAATGTGGCCTAAAGGTCCAACGGAAGTTTTTAAAGAATAAGAGAATGGTCATCACTTAAAATAAATATTCAAACACCTCAAATTATAAAAGGTACTCTTATTGTGTATTTCAAAACTAATTGAAGAAATTTTTGTTCTGAACCTCAAAACAAAATCATAATAAACAATATGAATCAAATTTTGAGCATAAGAAAGAAAGAATCAATCAAAATCTGTTGTTGTTTTTTTTTTTTTTTTTTTTTTTCAACGTCGTAAGAGTTATTGTCTTATTTTAAACTATGTCTTTAGCATAAGCGAATTCAACATAATTTTGCATATTATATATTGCTTATGGCTATAGCCTATAGTACCTTCTTTCTTTGAGTTATACAATTAATTTCTTATACGTACAAAAATACACCAATCATCGTATTGGCCAACCTGGAAAGTCGTACTTTGTAACTAGAAACAAGTGGAGATTTTCTATATATTTCTCATCTTTTTTTCAATGGTGCATGTTAACCGATGATGTGTATGTAAGTTAATTAAAAATCTTAGCAATTGATTATATACTTATATATTATATGATTTGTTTTTATCTGTCCCTTATTTGCTTGGCATAATGTCATTAAATTATTTAAACAAATTAGTTGCACATGTATTCAAATAAGGGTCCACCACAAGAAGCTGCTTTCTTGGTCACATCCCACAGGATATTGCCTATAAAATGAGCCCTACTTCTCCTCTCAAGTCATTGTGTAACATTTTCAAGCCTTTCCCACTTTCTTTTGCTCACTTCTCATCAGAAAAAAGAAAAAAAAAAAATAGTTTCAATCTTGCAAAATGGCTTCCATGGTAGCTGAAACTTGGGCATACATCAATGGTGAAGATGACTCCAATGGAGTTGAAGTTTGGAAATTCAACGATGCCCTTCTAATGTCTTTACTAGAAGAGCCACATGGTGAAGAGTACAATAATGAACAAGTGAATAAAGTGATTCAATCTCTAGAGGCCGAGATTAATGCGAATATGTTAGAAGCTGGCCGTGATTTAGCTATGGAGCCTGAATTTCTCAATGTCGGCGACAACGAGGATGGTGAGAATTGCTTGAGTTCAATGGAGTTTGAATGGGAAGAAATGGAGCTGGTGCCATCCTCACCAAGTGATGACATGAATTGGTGCATGGATCAGTATGAAAACGAGTTGGATTTTATGGTTGACTATGGACATGTCAGTGATTATTCTCAGATTTATAATGTTGTTTCCTTTGAGGAACAAAGTTTCTGCTCTTTATGGCATGAAACATATGATACACTATAATATAGTATTAGATCGTCAGTTGTTTTAATTTTTTTTTTTTACTTTAAAACGAAGTGTACATTTAAATAAAAATTATAAGGAAAATTACTTAATTTTAGTTATTATTGATGTGATTTTTTAGTAGTAAATCTCTCCGTTTTATCATTTTATTTTATTTTTTATTTTTTTTGCCTATCTTGCAAGGAGACCAACTTGCATAAATGCCACCTCACTCAGCCTATTTTCCTATGTGGAGTCCATTGCAATTTGAAATTAATAAAATCAGTAAGATGAAATTGATCTTAGAGGGCTTTATCAATTGATACAAAGAATTATTTGATTGCAAATGGGTGCATGACTCTTTGTTTTAAAGACGGGATGTAAATAAATACTCTTAAGGAAATGCCATTAAATGATAGTTCTGAAAACAAGATTTTGGGTACAATTCTGAAAGATATATTTTTTTTTTAATACAATCGAGAGTTGGTTTTTGATTATTATTTTTTAGTTATTTATTTGAAGGCTTTGCTCGTTGGTTAATTTGACAGAAGAGGACAGGAGTAAAATAGGAAGAGAATTTTTTTTTTTTTTTTTTTTTTTAACTTTCTCTACTGGTCGAGTGGTTCAATGGAGACTCTTGGGTATATTACTCAAGAAATCCTGAGTTTAAGTCTCTTCTTGATTGTTACTATGCTAATAGGGGTAACCATGAGAGTTCTTATCTGACTGTAATTCCAGGGTTCAAGGGGATTAATTGAAGTACGCGTAAGCTAATTCGGACACCTCCGTTTATATATATAAAAAAAAAAAATTTAAAGTTATTAATTATTTCCGAATGACAGGAGAGAAGTGAAGCAATCGAAGAAGGAAAATTAACAAACATAATTTTGTCTTTTTTCCTTCTTCCCCTTCTTCTTCTTCTTCATCTACCAATACTGGATAGTATTAGTGGTGGAAAAATGACCCGCCCAGCCCGACCCGTGATGAGTTATAGGGGTTGGCGGACCCACCAACAATACCTAGCCCGCCTCTTGGCCAGAAAGCTTGGCCTGGCCCGGCCCACCAACCCTAACCTGGCGAGTTATGATTGGGCCGGGCTGGGTTAGCCCACAATTTTTTTTTTTTTTTCTTTTGTGTAATTGTTTTTAGTTAACTTTTCAAATATCAATAATTCAATTAATTTTTTTTTTTTTTTAGTTAACATTTCAAATATTAATTCAATTTTAATACAATAAAATTGTAATATAAGAAAAATTAGATTTATTCTTTTATCAAAAAATAAAATAAGAAATTACAACAATTATTGCCTTATTAAAAACCTTACCAAAAAAAACCCGATAGGACAAAAACTTGGTAAGAAAAAAGGAGTGCAATAATTGACAATTAATTTACAAGTTACAATTTACAAAACAACTAATTTAGGGGTTGACTAAGACCTCTCTCATCCGTATCATCTATATTACAAAATTGAAATAATTCTATTAAAGTATTGTCGACAACCTTGTATTGATCCTGATGGCGCGACCGTTCCCAATCTCGAAGACATGTGAGGACTTCAATCATTTTTGGTGAAAGTTTAGTCATCTTTTCATTTAAAATTCTTCCACTTGCACTAAATGTTTGTTCAGATGAGACGGTTGAGAAAGGAACAACGAAAACATCCAAGGCAAGTCTTGATAATACCGAAAAAATTCATTTTTTGGCTTTCCAATATTCTAAGACATCAAAGTTGACTCTTTGTTGTGAATCCGCTGGCAACACTTTGGGGGTTCCCAAATATTGTTGAAGCTCATTACTCTGTGACTGCATGGAGGACAGTATATTCGTTGTTGGTGCTTCTGAAAAGGAGGCTGTACTTCGGGTTTGGGTCCTCTTCGGCCTATTAAGTGCACTCTAGGAGTCGAAGTCTTCATTTGTTTCTTCTAATGCAACTTCCCTAGGTATTTCGCCTCTTTGCTGGTTCCCATACCTGTTTTCATATTACAAATATACCTCAGCAAGACACTCTCTTACCTCTCCTAGTTGATTGGCATATGCTTCGTTTTGTAAATTTTTAGTTAGTGTGTCTAAACTATTTTCTAAACCTGCTACTTTAATTCTAGGATCAAATATAGCACCTAAACAATAAAGAAAAGGAATAGGTTTCCAATATTTAAATTTTTTTTTCCCATTACCTTTATTGGTCCCCCTAAAATTTCATTGCTTCTGTTTTTTCTAAATAAATATGAAATTTTTAAAATTGTATGTATTATCAATGGACTAGTAGGATAATATACACCAGAAAGTTGTAAAGTGGATTGGTAAAAAATTCTAAGAAAAGAATGAAATTTTTTAGCTATATGTTAATCATTTTCTACCAAATAATGAGGATCTCTATTATTTGCTACAAAATAACTAATTAAATTTGCATAAGGTAAACATGAATCAAACATTAAATAAGTACTATTCCATCTAACAGGCATGTCTAATGCAAAAATTCTAGGAGACATATTTGATTTTATACAAGCATCTTGAAATTGAGTATTTCTTTTATTACTACTAGTAATCCAGGCTAAAGAATCCATAATTCTATCAATATTATCTCTAATTGTTTTCATACCACTTTCACAATTAAATTAATAATGTGACATGCACAACGTTGGTGAAAAAACTTCAAATTGTCATAAAAGGATAATTACTTTTAAAAAAAATCTATAGCTGTACTATTAGTACTTGCATTGTCTAAAGTTAAACTTATCACTTTATTAATAACATCATAATCTTCTAAAACTTCAATAATTTTATTATAAATTGTTGACCACTATGATCCACATCTATTAATCTAAATCCTAATAAAGATTTATTTAATTTACATTCGTTATCAAAATAATGACTAGTCACACAAATATAATCTTGTTTAGCTCTACCACTCCAAATATCGGTGGTTAGAGCCACACTAACATGACAACTATGTATTTTATTTTTTAATTCTAATTTCATTTTCCCAAACAACTTTATTAAATCATTTCTAGTTGTAGTTTTAGAATAACTTTTAAATCTTGGAAAAAATGAATTTTTAATAAATCTTTCAAAATATTTATCTTCAGCCATATTAATAGGTTGATCAGTTGCAACAATATATAAAGCTAATTATTCCCTATATACATCAGAATTATAACGCCAAGTATTACCCAAATTAGTTATTTGAGTTTGATTGGTTTCTCTATTTCCATGTTGAGTAATATGTTTATTAGCCTGCCTTTTTAAAGTACTAGTACCATTACTTGAATCAGCTTTATAAATATTTCCACAATACTTGCATCTTGCTTTCTTCACTTGAACTCTATTTTCTATCTCGTAAAACTTATCGAAATGCACCCAAACATTTTATGTGTGCTTGTCGTCGATTTCGACAGCAGTTGATGAACCCGCTTCTGCTTCAGATGAAGTTGGATGAGGATGACGATTACGAGAACGACTTCTAGAACCACCGGGAGCTGTAGCAGCATGGGGAGGAATCAGGGGAATATTATGAGGTGTTTCAGATTCTGAGACTAGGAAAGCGGGACTATTTGAATCAACTGCATTTATGTTAGTAAATTCAAGGGGACTAAGATAGTAGTTTCCTTCATCATCGAAATTGATGGGATGGAAATATCTATCCATTGTAGTTAAAAAAAAAAAAATTTAATATAGAAGAAATAAAAAATTAAAGAAGGAGAATTGGAATTTGGAAATATGAATTGAAAATTGCAAAAACTAATAAAAATTAAAATGAGAGCAAATTGACAACAAAGAGAATAATTGAGAGATTTTAATAGAGATTAGAAAATGAGAGAATTTGGGATGTGAGAAAATATGAGAGTTTATGGCCTATTTATAGAAAACAAATGGGAAAAGAAAATGATGAAAAGACTCCTCCAACTGCTATTAAACGATTATATTTCAAGGGTAAAAGGGGTATTTGTAAAAAAAAATTATTAATTTTTTTTAAATTTTTTTAGCCAACCCGCCAAGTTGGCAGGTTTTTTGAAAAAAAAAAAAAAGGTAACCTGCCAAGTCGCCATACAAAAACCCGACCCGCCTGGCGAGGTGCATGCGAGTCGGGTTGGAGCCAGGTTAGGGTTGACTCGTCTAACCCAGCCCATTTGTTCCACCTCTAGATAGTAGTAGTTTGAATATCTGGCTATACATTAAACATTATTGTTGAAATGACTAACTTTATCTACTGTTATTAACTCTTCTGATTTGATATCAATTAATATTAAAATAACCCTTTTCTCTAATATTTAATTCTACATAACTTCCCACTTTTGTGGATCTCTTTTTAGTTGGTTGAGTTTTGTTATGCTTGAAAAAGTAGGGCTGATGCAAGACCCAGTCAACATAAAAAGTCAGAGCCTAGGTATGTCCGCAACCCGTCAGAGGCAGCCACGTCACACAATGATAGGGGTGGCATGCTCCTGTCATTGTGTGACGTCACAGCCGGTCAGAAGCAGCCCAAAGCTAGAGTGATTCTATGTGTCTAATCACTACACCAAATCGCGTAAATCGCTCTAGAAGGTGGGCAATGGGACATAAAGAATGATTTTCACGGATAATCCCACCAATTCATAGATTTAGTAATCATAACCTTAATCCATCCCACTATAAATTGAGAGCTCCTCTCTCATTTAAGGGATTAGCTAATCTCTCTAAAGAAAAAATATCATTCTCTCTCTTGTATAATCATTTGTAAGTCAATCCGCCGAACGCGACCTGACCACTATCATTAATATAAAATCAGTGGACGTAGGGTTTGCTTCCTTAGCATCCGAACCACTTTAAACGCTGATCTCCATTGTTTTTACTCTCACTCTTTCATCCACGTGTGTCTTCTGGGCTAACTCAGCATTTCACACGTGAGTTTGGTTGGTGTTAAAATCACGCATCAACAGTTTGGCGCTAGAAGGAGGGCCTGATTTAGTGTTCGTCCTTCATCAAGAGAATATCTAACTTACTGGTCCTACAACAGCAAATGGCTCGCCGACTTGAACCTGAGC